GTCATTGTCAATTATCCAAAATTTTGGGGAAAATGGCAGTTGAAATTACCTGAGGAAATATAAAAGTTGGCTTTTCTTATCATCACACTTACGGCTTCAGACATACGTTCTCCTGTCTGAAATAGATTATTTTCAGTTATAAATCTGAGAAGCCATTCTTAAAGCCCAGCCTTTGATTTTTTCCAAACATTCCAATTTATAGCTGCTCATTGGTTCTTCACTCAATTTTTGCAGTACAAGTATGTTTTGAAGACTTTTATGGCAGGTATTTGAAGAAGTTCCCAGGTCTTCAAAAGTTTTATGGAAGATTGCCAGTCTGCAGAAAATGTTATGACAATTTGCCAGTCTGCAAAATATTTTATTAAAATTTGCCAGTCTGCAAGCAAAACAGGTTGGGGAGCTCTGATCTATAGATTGTTGGCCCAAGTTGATAACAAAATAAAGGGGCAAATAAGTTTGCCTGAAAAGTTGAACCAAAATGTTTCCAGTTGATGAGGTTCAAATTTTTCTGCACTTCAAGGAATTGGCAAAGGATTACCTAAAATTAAATTCAAATTATAGGGGTTTTGTCTTGGCAAAGTCCATGCAACTGCATTTTGAAGCTTTTCTTTTGTTTTCTGGTGCAAAGCACTAGTTCAGGAGTTGATTAAAACACACCTCTCAGCACACATAAAACATGGTCATGTGAATTTAGGGTATGAAGAACCAATCACGCACCAAAAACTTAGTTTTTTTTATGTGAAATTAAATTTGGCACTGGGTTCTTTTAGAAGTGGGGGTATTTTGTTGCAGGTGCTTTCCTCTCATCATTCCCAACAGAAGGTCAACAAGGAATTAATCCAATACCATTTCCCATCACATTAATTCATTCACGGCAGACGATATGAATCGCGTCCATGTAAACTTGAACAATTGATTGTAAGAGAATGAATGTCATACACATCCTTGAAGGAAAACCAATGTTCAAACCGAACGACACTAGCAATAAAAGAATCCGAGGAAATCACTTATACTACGTCGCCCTTTTTTTTTTTTTTTAGTAGCAATGACTTCATTATTTCCTCGGATATTCAAACAAAATACTGAATCAATTTTCTTCACCGATATCTCTGAAACCTTTTCCATATACCTTTCCTGGTAAAGGGAAATTTTCTCTGCGCTGAAAACCCGAACAATTGCACAGCTGATGTTATTGTGAGCCGGGCAAAATTGAAGGGCGATGAAACAGAAACCTACTTCACCCGCGCCCGCGACGAAAACGCATTACCCACGTTACCCACAAAGTGGGTCGCTCACATGTGTCTCACCAACTGAGCGTAAAATGGAGCTCTTGGAAGAAGGACCCTTATTCCCCGGATGCAAGAGCAACTGGACTGTGGAGCACGACACAGGAAGTGAAAGAGACGTCTTACAGTGTTGCCCATCACCAACAATTTTTTTTATTTCTTACAATCCATAATGTGGCACTGCAGGTGGTACATGACAAATTACCCACCTGACAATTTAACCACCCCACAATTTGTCCATCCTGCAATTTGATGGCCAAATTTGCGGGGAGGTTGACTTGCAATTTGACCTCCATCCCACAATTTGACCCAGAGGGAGAGAGAGAGAGAGAGAGATATGCACAAACAGATAAAATTTAGAAAACATTGCATTTGATGTTGCTGTGGCAGAATAATTTGGCACGTTACTGTACTGTAAATCTATCCACACTACTCTACAATTAATCTTGAACATTTGAGACGTTTCTCATGTCTTCTACAGTTTTCTTGGAGCAGAATTGCAGCTGCCATGTCATGGAATGTTCTGAGTCAGTACAGCAAGAGACTTCATATCAAGTCAAGTCATTAATTGTGTGTGATCATTATTACTGTGTGAATTTGTGAAAGATCCGTTTGTGTTTGGGGTTAAAGAAATACATCTTATCTTTTTCTTTTGGATCTTGTAAACAAGATCTCCCCAGGTGAACCCCACACCTGATTAAAGTGTTTTATTTTGAATTCCGCGCCCTTTTGTATCAGTTTGGATACAGTTGCTTTGACATTTGACTGCTTCACAATTGAACACTAGTCCAGCCACAGATTTGGGTCAGAATTTCAGGCACCACCTGTACTGAGCTTACAAGTATGGAACCTTAAGATGCAGATGTAATTGGTGCTTGGACTTGATCCCTATGTTGAAATATCTGTATGTTGGATCACATTTTCTCATAGACTTCATTGGGAACTTCTTAAATATTGGTTCTTGAGTTCATCAAAATGTAGGAATAAATCCCCTAAAAATTGCATCAAATTTATTTTGAAGATACAGATTGTAATTGTGCAGAAGAGAACCCCACAGATTCTGATCTTTTGGGTGATAAACAGCAAAGAAAAAGTACAAGTTTTGCTACTGTGCACCAGATGATGGAGAATACTCCATAAAGAGAAGCACAAAATTAGCCTGTTTTTTTTAATATAAATTTAATTAAATTTATGATAAAAATCATTTTTTATATATGCGAATATAAATAGCTAAATTTGTTCAAGAGATACAGGTATCAAAGGTTGAAAAAGAAACATTTTTCATTTTTCTTGAGATGTTGGAAAAGTGTCTGCATGTCAAGATATTGTCTGGATGTTGGGGCAGATTGTTCAAAGTTTAAAGTGTCCCTAAGTCAAATAATCCCTGTGTAGGTGCATTATCTGTAACACATTTGTTGGGGTCTCAGTGTAATACAAGAGTGGACTCTCTCTTCAAGTAAATGCATAGTGCCAGAAAAATATTGTACAGTAACTGTTGTAGAGAGAATATTGTTGTGGAGAACCCCTATGCCATTTGGATGATAGAATCATGTGCATGGGGAAAAAATTGCTTATTCAGAAAAAACAATTGGAGACAAAATCGTTGGAAAAAAGAGTCTACCTGTTATGTAACAGCCTAACAGGCAAATACCATATTTACTACAGTACCAAGTTCGCCTCTTTTACATATCTTGAGGCAGAAAATGGGGTGCAAGGATAAATTTTTCAAGAAAAATTCCCCAAAACGATAGTGCACATTATCATAGACATGTGAGTAATACATCTGAGCAAAAAAAAATAAAATTGAGAGGAATTGTGTTGCGCCAAATTCTCATTTTCACCATGGGAAATAATGGTTCTAGCAATAACAAGTTTAGGAATGCATCAGCTGGAGATGAAACAGGAAGTAAAGAAAGGGGAACATGTTCACCTAATTCAGGCCGGATATGTTTTTGGATTAATTAAAAAAAAAATTGGAGTGCAGTATTACACTCTTACATGAGGGCACCTGGTTCTCGAGTATCGGTGTGTTTCGCAGGGATACATTTTTACCAAAATTTGCAGCTCAAAATCGAAGAGCGTGTCACGCTTTATTAAATAATACCATGATTGTATAGTTCCCCAAACATTCAGCCATCGCCCTGCTGTATATTGTGGGATGTTTTCCTGGGAGAGCACATCACATTTGGCAACACTCTGGGACACACTGAGTGATTCGAAACCTGCTGAGGGCATGGGACCAGTTTCCCCTTCTCATCAGCCGCAGGTAATTTAGAGAAGGAAACGTTTTCGCAGTTCAAAAATTTAATTATTTGCCATATGTCCCCTGTTCGCCTTTTCTTCTTTCCAGAGTTTATATTATATATTGAACGACGATCAGTTTTCAAAAAAAATTAAAAATTAAATCGGGCAGGTTTTTACATCACTGTTGTTACCCGAAGAAATTCTCAAATTCCGAACAAAAATGAATTAAGGTGTCAAGCTTTTATAAACAATCGGGAAGAAACTTTTCGATTATCGTACTTGAGTGTGACAGATGATGCAAGCATATCATCACACCGAACATGATGCAAGAATCATGCTGTTTGGTTATGCAGGAGTTATAAATGCAGGGTCTGTTTCGTCACAACGATTTCTTGGATGAAACTTAATTTTCAAGGGTCCTACAAAAAACGTTTTTGCCATGTTTGGACACCATACTAAGGGAGGGACATGGAATTTTCCAGATTCAGCACGATAAAATCAATCATCACCTGATTTTTTTCAATTGTTCCTTAGTTTTTAATAATAATTTTGGAACTTATGAATTTTGCTCCCAACATTTTTTATTAACCGCAGAATGAACAGGCATTTGAAGAGAAAATAGAAAAAATAAATCAATAAATTGATTTAAAAAAAGCTTCTTATGGGTAAACATGTCATTTTAACTGAAGAAACTTTACTTCTCGTGTGATGGTTCAAAATTGGTAGGAAGACTCTTGTAAAAAATTTTAAACACAAAGAAAATGCGGTAATTGCTTTCTACTTGGCTTGTTTCGTGTTCCCAACAACTGTAGTTCATTAATGGAAAATGCTACTTTCCATCTGTTGAGGATTTTATTATAGAATTTATTGATCACCAAAAAAACTGGGTTGTGCGCCACATGCAGGGAACAATTTTATCCCGAAAATTAAAGGTGTACATCTTACTTAATATGGCGGGTGGTACTTGAGAGAAAATATATTTTACCTTGTCAGAGTCTCTATAGAACCTATTAAAAAAAAAGCCACCCACATACACGAAAACCCAGCACAAATGAAATAACGCGCTATTCTTCCAAGGTTGCTCACAACATCTTCATCGGTGCAAACATTCAAATGTTCACAAAATGTAAAATTCTTTCTGTAGTGGATTTGAATATTGAATCTGTCCATCAACAAAATCGTACAATATTATGAAAATTTACGGTGCATGTTTTACTCAAGGGAGTGCGGTACTTGAACGAAAATATGGTACTGCGCATATTGGCAAGAGTCTCCAGAAAAAAATTCTCAAAAAAAGAAAATTAACGCACACGCACAAATTTCAGCAAATGAAATAACACGCCATTATTTTAAGGTTGCTCACAACAACATCTTCATTGCTGCCAGCAGTCAAAATTTCACCACGTTCCACCAGCATGAAGAAAAAAAAAGAAAAAACGCACAAATTTCAGCAAATGAAATAACACGCCATTATTTTAAGGTTGCTCACAACAACATCTTCATTGCTGCCAGCAGTCAAAATTTCACCACGTTCCACCAGCATGAAGAAAAAAAAAAAGAAAAATCAAAAGTAAATAAAAGGCACTTCCACAATGATAAGACGGAGTCTACAGCAGAAGACGCGCTGGTTCTTCACCCTTCCGCCTCTCGCCACAAAAAAAAAAAAAAGAAGAAAAAAGAAGTCCACCAGCGTATAACAGTACCATAACATAGTATGGGCGGAAAAAAACCGACACATTCATAATCTTTTCTTCTTCCCGGTTAAAAATACTCCCGTCTCCTCCCATCCCGCACATGACTACAAGAATTTCTTTCATCTAGGACATCAAAATCCTCCTCCTCTGGCACAAATATGGGAGAGGGGGCTTGGTAGTAAAATAAGCCCGTTCGCTTTCGACTCTCTGTGATGGAACCACGGCGGCATAATGATGAGCGACTTTTTTCCTTTCTAATATTTTTCTTTTTTCATATCAAAGAGAGCAAAGGCATTTCCGGAATCACAAGTGTTTTCCCCCAGGTGTGTGATAGCCAATTCGCCCCAGCTTATGTCAGCCTCGTCGCTGCCTCAAAAATTACAGTACAACCCAAGCGCAACACGGCAGAGAAGGGTAACACACACCAATACCGATACTCGCAACAAAAAAAAAAGAAAATTGTCACTGTCAAGCATAATAAATCCTGGGGATTCTACAAACGATTTGAACCGCAAAAAAAAAAAAAAAAAACGAAACTCGCCTCAGGCTTCGACAAACCTTTCAGGAAGAGAAAAAAAGGCCCACCTATTTAAGCAGTGCCTATAGAAGACATCACATTCCATTCATAGTCCAGTACATTACCAAGCCAGCTGCAGAAATGAAACAGGAAGCAATAAACTAGGGAAGAAACTTCAAAAATTATAGCCTAGAACAAAAGTTCTCGACTTGAAATATTTACTTGCATACCTTGCACAATTAAAAACAAATTTTCATTAGAAATAAAGATGGTGTTCATCATTTGGTGGACATCACATCAGAGTCACTCGTCGAAGCAATACTTGAAAATCTGAATAAAATTGAATCAGTTCAAATGTCGATAGATTCATTTTTTAAGTAATCACAAAATGGACTGCACATCTAACTTGAGGACAGGTTTTTTTGTCACAATTTTGGCTTAAGATAGGAAGTGAACATTTTACTCAAGGGTGCATGGTACTCAGGTAAATCAAGTAAGTTTTCATGTAAGCCACTTTTGTGGATATTAAAAATATAAACAAAACGTTACAAGAATTAAAAAGAAATATACAGGGACTCCAATAGACCTGCAATTAAATTTCTGTGCACTGGTACTTACAGGGAATCACTTACACTGAACTTGCAAATTGAAGAACAGTTATTCGGCTAGAAAGCTGGTTCAAGCATAATTTTTCAACCAACAGTTGAAACATTTTTTTTTAGATCGAAAGACGGCTGAGTGAAACAAAAGTCAAAGTTAAGAAAAATACTTTCTAGCACAGGAATTCAAAAAAATTTCTGGTTCACGATAAAATGCAATGCTTAAACATTAATTGAACACGTAGGCAATTATCCATTATCTTTCGACAGAATACCGAGAATAGAAATGTAAAAGATTACTAGTATTTTAAATCAGTTTCAAACGAAGAAAAGCCTGAAGTTTCCTGTCGGATATTAAATTACGTATATGATGCGTCGGACTATGATAGAATGCCGATATCGTCGCTGCTCCAAAATGATTCTTCAAATCCGTCGTCCATCTTGGATTTACACTCCTTTCTTTTTTCAAATCACGAAAAAAATGTCGAAATATACGATAGGAAGAACAAAAGTCGGACAAGCTTCGACACAAACGCTGAGGCATCCCGAATACAAACACAGGTTGTTCGCTGAGCATATTGTTGGACAATCATTCACAATCACAATCCCTGCTAAAACCACAAATCCGTTCAAACCATTCGCACGAAAAAAAAAATGAAATAAAATTTTCCGCATATACATGTTACCAGGACAAACGTAAAATCCCGAGGCACAACAAAAAAAAACCTTTTTACACGATTATTGCACGACTCGAAATAGAAAAATTAGGCCGGAACAAACAGTGAAACACGCGTGAAATAAAAGATGGATACGTTTGCACGCACACATTCCAAGGCAGAAAAAAAAACAAAGAAAAACTTAGCATTAAGCCTCTCAAGATAAGATATACCAAGACTCATTTTTTTTTCGAAAAAAGGTTCCAACAGAAATTTTGTTGAACTGAATACAACTACATTCGAGCCTTTCTTTCTTCTTCCAAGCTAAAATTTCCTCCCACATCGCATATAGTCATGGATTGTCATTTAGCACCACGTAGACTACAATAAAAGAAAACAAAAAATCCCATTCTTTCATCTCACAACCCATGATCTGAGGCGATGAGAAGACAATGGTGTTTTGTTTTTGTTTTTTTGTTGAGTATTCAATCAGGCTTTTCCTCCTTCGCGTAATCCGAGGAAGGAAGGAAAAAAACAAGTGAATTGATGTTCTGGTTGCTCGCGAAAAAAAAAACGCAAACGGGAGAGCGGCGTTTGACGAGCGAGCGGAAGAAGCAAAAATTGGTCGTCAATTCTTCGCAATAAATTTTGCTCTCTCGAGTTTTTTTCATCTCCCTCTTTCTCTCTCTCGCTTCTTGTCAAAGGTATGGCAGGCTTCTCATGGAGTATATTTACAAGAGGATGTTATAGGTTTTGCTTCCGCTTCATTCGCAGCCAACTAAATTGGACGGGTGAAGTTGGCAGGGAACAGGCCCTTCTCACCAGTGCTCTCCTTGACTCCCATCAACCAACCTTCTTCCTGCAAATTCATCAAATACAGTCAGTCACATTAAAGTTCTGATTACGGTACACATGTTGCACGACACAGATTCGAAAATTAAAACAAGAAAATTCAACGCAAGAAAAAAGCGTAGTTGAAACATACTTCAAACAAATTCTTCACCAATGGAATATATTAAAACTCCCTTTCACGCAACAAACGCATAACGTGGGAATTTCCTAAAAGTAGGTCACTTGGGTCATCCGAGCGACGATTTCAGCTTCAACAGATTGTCTTACATGGCATAAAAAAAAACTAAGACAGTAAATAAATTCCTCACGAATTCTGCAGTTTAAACATGTGATTTTGAATGGACACCCAAAAACCCCATGCGCAATAACAATGAATAAGCTGAATGAGAATTCGCCAGCAATTCCATCCGCAAATAATTCAAAGCTTCAATATCTGATACAGTAACATCCCCTTACAACAAGCTCCCAAATACCTGGGGAAAATGTCATGAGACTCACAGTTTAAAACACAACTAGGAAAAAGATTTTGTGGGAAACGGCGGCCTATGGGCATTAAACGATCTGAAGTGCTTCTGAAGTAGATAATTCAAGACTCATTTCTATCTCTCTTCAATGGAATTAGATGGAAAATCTTTTCAACACACTTATCTTACAGTATACATAACCTGACATGCTTAAAAATTCTTCAATATTGCGGTGATCTTGAAAAATGAAATTAAACAAAAAATTCTGTAGATGTGTAAGAAATACTGTACTTCCTTCAAAAGTCTCTGACTCGTCACACCTGAACATTCTAAAATATTTACTATAAATTTGTTTTAAACTAGAAATTTTTTTAAAACTAGAAATTTTTTTAAAACTAGAAATTTTTTTAAAACTAGAAATTTTTTTAAAACTAGAAATTTTTTTAAAACTAGAAATTTTTTTAAAACTAGAAATATTTTTCTAATCATACTGTTCAAATGAAATAGAGGAGTCGTTTCAAAATTAGCACAAGACAATATAAGAAATTTTAGAGCATCACTTCGTATACAGTATTTTCTGCAGCAATAAAGCTTCGCTACAAAAGCTAGGTTTTAATTATCTTTTAACGCTGCGCATTTTAAGATTTTTTATTTTATTTTTCTGACAATTATCAAATAATCTCTATAAAGCACAGTCACAGAATCAAGGCAACACATTTTAACACGTTTTTATTAACTCACTTTCTTGTCCGTTTGTTTGTCCGGATCAAATTTTTCAACTCAAATTTCGCTCACTTCCCGACTAGCTAGCAAGCTGAAACTTTCAGGAATTTTTTGCTTCTTGAAAACGTGGTTTTTTAGATTAATTTTGTAATGTACTAAATTTTTTTGTGCGTTTAAGGTTATTTTTTGCTTCTTGAAAAACGTGGTTTTTTAGATTAATTTTTTAATCTACTATAATTATTTTACACTAAGATTACAGTTTACAGTCTTGAATAAGTTCGATAGTTTCCACTAAGATACCGTCAGGAACCAGAAAAAAATATAAATGAAAAATTCGTCACATGTTAGAACCAAAAACTCGTCTCCACAGAGAACATAATTGGAAAACAAAACTTGACCGGAATTTCTTGAAACTTTTTCGAGTTTGTTTCACTCAAGCTAGATTTTTCAATATACACAGCCAATTTTCCGTGATCCCAGCAGCTTACAAACGAACAAAAAATCACCTGCCTGTCCCTTCAATTATCCAAAAAAATATATCTCCTCACATCACAACGCCTCACCTGGTCCTCAGTATCATCAAATTCAATAACTTGAATGATCTCGCCCACGTCGAACGACAACTCGTCAACATCTTCCTTCTGGTACCTGTAAGTCGCCCTCACGCGGTACATAACTCCTGGCGGAAGTCCCTCTCTGGTAGCCTCTGCACAAATCAGACACAAAAATATAAAATACCCCGCTTTCGAATCAAACGAAAAAAAAGTTATAAGCAAAAATATCCCAGAAATTGTTAACGAACGTCAACAGCACAAAGAAAAAGGTATACCAGAAAAAAAAACACCGTATTCTACAACAACATCAGCAGCAGCAACTAATAAACGGACGCACAAAGAAAAGGCATGACCATGTGAGTAGCAAAACAACTACTGTACTTTCACTGGAAGGGTAAACAAAAAAAAAAAAGCCAGGCTTACGTCACCGAGGACCAAAACTACGGATTAAAATCCCTGTAGATAT